TACATAATTGCCATTGGCATACCCCCCTTTACAAAAAGAGTACAATGACCCAACCCAAGACACATGAAGACACTTAGATGGCGTGTTGATGGCGTGCTTGATGGTGATGATGGTAGCTGATCTATCACACTCTAGCACATTCATACCTATACAAAATGGCATGGCAGGAACAATGCGGTGTGCGTATAGTCGGGCGATGGAACTGTTAATGCATGCAAATTGAGTCTCTATCTTGTCAACACCAAAACCTTTTCCTTGCTTGGAGTTCAGCCAATGCTTGCCACAACAGATGTCTAGGGCGACAAGCTTGTTTCAAAATACTATTTGATGAAAAGCATAGTCCGTCCGTTCTTTGTTGTGAGGTAGGAAACTACGAAACAACAAAAACCAAAAGAACCACATAGAGAATTTTGCGAAGGGCATGCTTGGAAGAGGGGCGAGACGAGGAAGGAGGGTTAAAGCGAGTGGAGAGGCGAAGAAGAGGAGTTCCCATGCAACATCGTTTTATCATGTTCAGGTCATTTTATTATTAGCAAAGTGATCCCTCCTAGGTATCAAGAACCTTCTGAATCAGGGTATATTTTTTGTAAAGAGATAAGACATTTAAAACCAATAGAAAACAATAGCAAAACAATTCACCATATGGGAGCTAAATATTTTTGGCAAAGTGATCCCTCCTAAGTCTTAAAAACCTTATGGAATCAGGGTATTTGTGAAAATAGTCTATATTTATTTATTTTTTTTTTTTTTTAAGAAAATGACCCCTCCTGGGTAAAAACCATACGAAATCAAGGTATACTTGAAAACTGTTATTTTCTTGGAAAAACAACCCCTCTTGGGTAAAAACCTTATGAAATCAGGGTATACTTGAAAACAATCTATATTTTTGGGAAAATGAACCCTCCTAGGTAAAAACCTTACGGAATCAGGGTATTTGCAAAAATGACTTCTTTGAGAAAACAACCCCTCCTTGGTAAAAACCTTATGGAACCAGGGTATAATTGAAAACAGTATTAATTTTTTGAAAAATGACCCCTCCTCGGTAAAAACCTTACGGAATCAGGGTATTTGCAAAAACAACTTTTTTTGAGAAAGCAACCCCTTATGAAAAAAAAAAAAACTTACAGAATTATGGTATTTGGGAAAATAACTTCTTTGAGAAATCCTAAGTAAAAACCTTACGGAATCAAGTTATTTGCAGAAATGACTTCTTTGAGAAAATGACCCCTCCTAAGTAAAAACCTTATAGAATCAGGGTATACTTGACAATAGTCTATATTTTGGGGAAAATGACCCGTAAAAACCTTACAGAATTAGGGTAATTGCAAAAACTTCTTTAAGAAAACGACCCCTCCTAGGTAAAACCTTATGGAATCAGGGTATTTGGGAAAATGACTTCTTTGAGAAAACAACCCCTCCTAAGTAAAAACCTATGAAATCAGGGTATTTGCAAAAACAACTTCTTTGAGAAAATGACCCCTCCTAGGTAAAAACCTTACAGAATTAGCGTATTTGCAACGAAGAAAACCACATAAAAAACAAGTAGATCAAACACCAAGATTATGTAGGACAACAAGTTCAAACTTCTTGCAAAGCAAAAATCACAAACTACTAATAAGAAAACTCTTTAGCTTCCATCTCATTCACGTCCCTTTTTCATTCATTTTTTTACTTCTAAAAGCATTTTGAAAGATTTCTAGACTTAACAGGGGTTCTTAAATTACTATACCATAATTGTTCATTGTGACATAATTATTGCAATGCTTCAGACACCATTTACCCTTCATTCCTTCTCTTTTTCCTATTCTTCTCTCCCCCCCCCCCCTTTTTAGGGTAAACTTCTTAAACTACCCTTATAGTTTAACACATTGACTAAGTGTACCCCTACTATTTGACTATTGTCTAATGCTACCCCTACTTCTTCTTCTTCTTCTTCTTCTTCCTTTTAGTAGTAGCAAACCAAGCTAGCTTGGTCCTTAACTCCCTCCACCTTCGGCCCTTCTCTCACTCTCTCTCTATTTGATGTATTTTCGTCGACAACAATTAACAAAGAAGTCTAATATATACTCATTTGGGGTTGTTCTTTTTGAGGTCTTGTGTGCAAGGCCTGCCTTTTATACGTAATATCATTCATCCATTGGTTAAAACCATTGAACACCATTGGAATAATCCTAGCCTTGCTCTGATTCTTAGATTTTTCTAATGTTAGACAGCTTACGCCCTTAGCTCCAATCAGATTAATGTATAGATACATTTATTGTAAATGAATAAAAGTACATTATTGTTTCATGTTAATATTTGTATGTTTATCCTGCCAAGACTGACACTGATGTGCTGCCAAAGAAGTTGGGGCAAATCAACTACTAGGATTAGACCCAAAGCATATGCAGTGTATGTTTGGATGAAACACTGAACCCAGACCATTTTCCAATTATGTCTTGGACCATGGAGATTGGTGGGCAAAACTGAAAAGTGTTGTAACACTATACCTTGTAACCAAGGGAGAGTTCCTTCCCTGTCAGGTATTTTGTGATCACTATGGGTCGAGAGATTAAGTGTAAGACACCATTATAGGGATGATTACCTAATGGGCTTTATCTTACTTAAGTCCATTATCCTTGGGTCTTCATAGGACGGTTGAATTCAATGATAATTTAGGTGTAAATGTTGGGCCCATATTGAAAACCTAGTGATGTACTCGGGGGCTCACTGCGTTTAGTAGTGAATTCGGCCAAACCTTTTGCAAGAGGTTGGGCCGAACCCATGTATACTTATCTAAGGTCATTATGGAGTCCTACGCCATACAAATCAGACCTAAGTTGGGCATGCAACATCTTGGGTCATGAGCTTTTGAAGTAAATGGGTCTAAGGCCCATAATTAATAAGACTAAATAAATGGGTCAAATACTTGGGTATGTTGGGGTTGTTCAAAAATTCACCTAAGTGGGTGGTCATAGTGATAGGATCGGCCCTCTGTCGAACAAAGTGAATATCAGGGTTTACACTCTCTCTAATGGAAACCTAAACTACTGGTAGTGGATTTCACTTGTGTTTGAAATTTGGTTTTGCAAAATGTATTTATATGTTATATACTAATATTTTATGAAAAATGGTTTGTAAAAGGTTTAAATCTCGGGATCCATCCGAGCAGAGAGTATGGCATTGCACCTTGCAGCTAGGGGAAAGGTCATTCCCAGTCGAGTAGTATTTTGATCTTTATAGGCCGAGTGGTTAAGTGTAAGAGACTATTACAAGGCTGATTACCTAATGGGCTTCGTCTTACATGAGTCCATTATCCTTGGGTCTTCATAAGGTAGCTGAATCCAATGATCATTTAGGTGTAAATGTTGGGCCCAAACTAAACCAATGTTGATTGGGTCAAGGGTTTATTGCCCTAAGTAATGAATTCTACCTAGTCTCTTTTAGGGGTAGGGATGAACTCATATGGGTTTATGTGAGATCATTGTGGAGTCCCACACCATATAATACCATGCACAAAGTGGCCATGCGACACCTAGGGACGTGAGCCTTTGAAGAAAGTGGGCCTTTATTACTAATTAGATCAGTTAAGTTGTCATATGACAACTTAAATTGTCGTGTGATTTGGGTCAAAACTAAGTATCATTCTAGGTATGGAGCACCTATCCTCTTAAGAGGATAATGCTTATCTCTTAAAAGAATTCAGATCCAAATCAGATTTAGATAATCTCCTAATTAGATTAAGAAAGTGCTCCATATAAGGGGGTTAAGAGAGAAAGGGCAAATGGGACTTGCTCTTTTCACTCTCTTGCCCTCTTCTCTTCTCTCTTCTCTCCCATAAACCCTGTCACAACCAAAGCTTTTCAAGAACTGATTTTTATCAGTTTTTCCTTTGAATTTTTGCAAGAAAAATGTTGGAAAAATCAGGCTCACACATCCCATTTGATCCGAGCAAATTGGATAGCAGTTTTACTAATAACAATGTTGTTAAACTAACTTCTCCCATACACTATGCCATTTCTACTAAAGTTTACCAAAGGGTTTTTTTCTTACTTGGTCCAAACTTGCAATTTCTATTTTATAGTCTACTCATTTTGGCCTTTATCAATGTTCAGAGAGCCAAACCGGAAATCAACCCAAAAAAGGGAGAGGTCCACAAGTCAAAGATTCAACTCGAATCAAACTATGGTGATGTAATTTATATATATTATATTATAATATAATGTAATATAACTTATATAATACTATATATAATATATATCATATTATATAATATGCACAATTATATGATATAATTATGTGCATAATAATATTAATTATATGCATATATTCAAAATATATTATTATATTCTTCCATAACATATATCTTTATTTTAGTTTCACATTTTTATATTGAAAATTAAGATCTAAGGCCAAAATGGCATTTTTTTGGAAAATATATTGGGTTGACACCTTAAGAAGACATAGATCTTGAAAAGTTACCCAAAACCAAAAAATGATCACCTCAATCAAACATCCGAACACAAAGTTATGGCCTTTAGAAGTTTGCATTATGTACTAGAAAAAAATTTCAAAAAAAACAGCCAATTTTCTAAAACCTGGACCGGGTCATCATATCATTCAGATCGATAGGGGTATGACCAAACCAGCCAAGGGACTGGTCACAATTCAACCTGTTCAACCAACCGATCTTGTCCGGTTTTCTAAATACTGATCATGATCATATCTCTTTACCAAAACATTAAACGTAGGGTTGATTTTATAAACCCCTAGCATCAATATATTTCCGTTTGTTTTTTTAGAAGGAACATTTCAAGCCAAAAAACAATGTAACTAGAACAAAATAGAACCTAAGAAGCCTATATAAAAGATGCGAATTACCTTTGAGTTACATTTTAATTGGCAAGCTCATTCAATTGATTGTAAATATATCGGAGTTATGATTTCTGCAATGATTCAAGTAACATGATGTGTTTGTATATGGAAGAACCATGTCCATGTTTCAGACCATACCCTACAGATGAATCAAATGTAATACCGTTTCATGCCAAAATGCCGAAGGGGCTCGTGGTTATAGAATCAAGTGTAAGCAGAGGACATTTGGCTACTATGAGCAGAAGCATTTTTATAGGCCTAAAATCAACCTCGATCACACAAGGAACACAATGACAGAAATGAAGACTTCCAAAAGCCCGTGCTTCAGAGCAAGTCCTTTGATACAAATAAATTAAAAACTTGTACAAACTCCCTTTTATAGAGCTTGTATTACTATGTCTTGCATCATATCATTTATCCCATTCTAAATCCAAGTTTCGCAGCACCCCCTCTGGTTTATGCTCTACAGTGCTTGTAGGCAGCTGACGCATATACTGATCCCAGCCCATGAGATAGGGCAGCATGAACTGCACCAACAAAGTTTTAATTGTTAGAAACTAAAAATGTTTTACCCTTTCTGTTTGTAATCGAAGGAAAAAAAAACTGTTTATTTCTCAATGCTATCGATCCGAAAATCACGTTTTGATAATTTAGAAGACATCTTCAGTGTTTCCAAAGCCAAGCGGGAAAAGGAGCCACTTTTCCTTCTGGGCAGTGGGTCAATGGTTTAATTGTCCACATCAAATAGGACAACCCATGATATCATAACTAAATAATAAAATATAAAAATAGATAAAAATAAAATACAGAAGTTTTGTAGAAAAAAAATTGGAATCTCTAATAATATATATTTATCATATTAAACAAAAAATGTGATAAGAAATATTTCTTCCAATGATGGAAATGGTTAAAAGAAAAAAACARAGAACCACTATACCTGATACCAGCTGACCGGATCAAATGGTTCACCATTCCACCAGCTGGGTCACCAGGACATGGACCAAGGGTACTTACAGGCAAGCAGTTAAGTGGTGAAACAGACCCAGAATTCTGGACGAGCAATGGGTCGAATGGTCCAACTGGCTGGTTCAACCACAGCCGTCACTCACAGGTTGAAAAAATTGGACATTTCTGGACATAGATTCTATCCATTAAAGAGAACAGTTTGGACGCTCAGGGTATAATCTCAACTATAGCAGTTGTGATTTTATCAACCAAAAGTTCTTGGTTTCCAAAACTACAAGATAGTCCTTAAGCTATACAGTATACACTGGTCTAATGGGTCATGGGAATTGTATTCAAGGTCAGCTTTTATCACTACTTAGGTATTAAATTGAGATGCTTATTTTTCTATGGAACCAAGTGCCCGCTTGGGAGGGCTCTCATGGCAGCTTTTGGCCTTTCATGGTTGGCCCCACCCAAACAACATACAAGCATTTATTAAAGCTTCTTTTAGTGGCTTCTCCAAAGCATCTCAATCAAGGCTTCAACACCCCCCCCCCAAACATGAAATCCTAACACTACTACTGAAATGGGGGACCCTTTCCTATGATCAATGGAGTTGCATGATCAAAAAAATATCATACACTGAAAGATGTGCGCATCACTGCAAATTCAGCATTTGTAACAGGGACAGAAAAACGCTCATTGGTTTTCAGGATGGAATTTACAACACCTGCACAGATATAAAGACAATAAAAGATGTTAATTGTTTCTGCAAGAATGGGGAATAGAGGCAATAATATGATGAGATTATTATATTCTCTTACAAATGCATAGAAAAACCAACACATTGAAGACAAGAATTATAGAACAAAGCATAACTGTATCACCAAGCTCCATAAACTAAACCAAAGACATTGGCACAATTCAATGACAATCTAAATCCAGCATGTTTTTCCCTTTTTCTAAGTAACATTGAGCAAAATATTAATTAAAGCAGATCCCAAGCATAAAGGCTCAACATCTAGGCCAAGAAAAAAAAAGTTTCTAAATATCATCCAATGCAGTGTTTTAAAAACCAACCCAAAGGCAGACCCATTTCTCCCCCTGGGTAGCAGTTCAGTTCAACCATCCAGGTCAAATGGATCAACCTGTAACGTCATGTATAAGGTTTAATAAAGCGGTGTCAATGGAACCATTGGCCATCCAAATATAGGAAAAACCGCCATATGAAACCTACTAAACCAGGAGGCTCTAGGAGACTGCTTTAGCCCATACATGGACTTTTTCAGCCTACACACCTTGTCTTCACTGCCTTTGGCATGGAAACCTGGTAGTTGAACCATATACACTTCCTCTTCCAGATCACCATTTAAGAATGCATTTTTATATCAAGTTGATGCAACTCCCAATCCAAATAACAAAAGAACTCGAATAGACTTGGGTGTACCCTTTTTCCACCAACCTTGCCTTGTACCTTTCTACTGTCCCATCCGCCTTGTGCTTCACTAAAAACACCCATTTACACCCTACTAGGTCTTTCCCTTTTGGAAGGTCCACCAACTCCCAAGTATCGTTCTTATGGAGGTCATTAATCTCCTCCTTCATAGCATTTGTCCATTCAAGATATGTCAAAGCTTTTGCAACATTTTTGGGTGTGGGGATACAATCAATAACAAACAAAAAAGAAATAAGTTGGAGAAACATGGTCATAAGATAATGAGCAATGGAATATTTTGTAGTACCTAACACCCCTTTTTTAAGCAATGGGAATGTCAAGATCATTCGCAGGATCACCAACAGAAGTAGGAACAAAGGAATCAACAAGAACAAGGACACCTAGTTGAGATGGGCTTACCTCCTGGAAGTCTGATAGTGTTGATTGCACAGTACTTGGGAACCCCACATCTTTAGAACAATATTGATCTCTATGACACTTATGTAAGAAGACATGGAAAGGAGCAAGACCTAGGATGGAAGGACAAAGAACCTAACAAACCTACTTCTCCTCCACACAACTCTCCCCATAAGGAGAAGCAAGTTAAAGGGCTCAAACTCAAAGATAGAGATATCCATAGAAACAATATACCTACCAGTAACTGAATCAAACCAATGGTAACCCTTTTGAGAGGATGGATACCAAAGTCTTGCACAAAGGACTTACAACCAAGGACTCTTATAAGAATGGAGAATAAAGGGGGTTAAGGGTATAAAAGCTAATGAAGAGCCTTAAGTTCAGTACTCTAGAGGGCATACAATTGACCACATAAGCAGCAGCAAGTACAACATCCATCCAAAAAAATTTAGGTACATTCATGTGTAACATCATTCCACGTGCTACTTCGTGCAAGGCTTTGGTACATTATCTGACTATTTTTCCTCTCTTCACCATTTTGTTGTGGTGTTGTGGCACATAAACTACGATGAAAGATCCACGAACAGCAAAAAATCAATAAGATCACCATGGAAGTATTCCTTTGCATTATCTGTCTAGAATATCTAAACCTCAACATGGAATTGAGTAAACACCATCAACTAGAAATCCTTTACAATTTTTGGAACTTCATCTCCAATGTGCACAAGGACTTTCCAAGTATAATGGGAATAATCATCAATCGAGATGATAAAGTATTTGTAACCACATCCAGATGTTATAGTAGTAGGGCCTTAAACATCCAAATACACAATATGAAAAGGGAACTTGATCTTTTTTTCCTTGAAAAAAATGATGTTCTACACTACTTGCTTAACACGTTTGACATTGAAAATTGAACTATTATGATTTGGCCTGCCCTTGAGTTCTCTTAGTCTGATAACAGCCAAGAAGAGAGAAGAAGAAAGAAGAAAGAGAGAGAGAAAAGAGGAGAAAAGGAGAGAAGAAAAGTTTGGTTCAAATGAGAGAAAAAATTCTCTCCCATTCGGCCAAACATGTTTTATATTACTAACATAATGGAAAAGACACATGTGCCCTTACTTAAGTGAGAGACACTAGTTCTAATATAATATTACAGATCAGCAACCTCAACATAAGTATAAAGACAGAAATACCCCTACATACTCGACACTAACACTCCCCCTCAAGCTGGTGAGTATATATCATATAATCCCAGCATGTTACATATGTAGTCCACTCTTCCCCCACTCAACCCTTTAGTAAATAAGTCTGCCCACTGGTTCCCTATGTTAACATATGCAACGTCTATCACTCCATTCAGCACCTTCTCTCTCACAAAGTGACAGTCAACCTCTATGTGCTTGGTTCTTTCATGAAATACCGGATTAGAAGAAATATGAACTGCAGCCTGATTGTCATAGTAGAGCTTCATTGGAGTGTTAACATCGTATCCTATCTCCTGTAGAAGGTTCCTCAACCACACTAATTCACAAGTAATATGTATCATAGCTCTATATTCTGCCTCTGCACTACTTCTCGCCATGACTGTTTGCTTCTTACTTTTCCATGTCACCAGATTACCCCCAAGAAAAGTGTAATAACCTGTGGTAGACCTCCTATCAAACATAGAACCGGCCCAGTTAGCATCAGTATATCCTTCTATTTCAAGTTTTCCACCACTTTTGTATATCAAACCACGACCAAGAGCCCCTTTTAAATACCTCACAATTCTTAGAACCGCATCCCAATGAGGAACCAAAGGTTTCTGCATGAACCGACTTACCACACTAACCGCAAATGAAATATCTAGCCAGTAATGGTTAGGTAGTTCAGTTTACCTACAAATTGTCGGTATCTGCCAAGGTCTTCAAACACTTCACCCATATCACTGCTCAGCTTAGTATTTGTTTCCATAGGTGTTTCAGCTGGTTTAGCACCTAACAAACCCGTTTCCTCCAGCAAATCAAGCACATATTTCCTCTAACACAAATTAATACCATGCTTAAACCTTGCTACTTCTATCCCCAAGAAATATTTCAATTTACCAAGGTCCTTTGTTTGAAAATGTTCCTGTAGAAAAGTCTTCAACCTGTCAATGTCCATTTTATCATTCCCAGTAATAACAATATCATCTACATACACCAACAATAGGATTTTTCCTGCCTGAGAGTCATGACTGAAGACTGAATGATCAACTTGGCACTATTTCATACCAAACTTCTTTACCACCTCACTGAACCTACCAAACCATGCTCGAGGAGACTGTTTAAGCCCATAAATAGCCTTCTTTAATCTGCATACCTTACCATCCTCCCCCTAAGCAACAAACCTCGGTGGTTGCTCCATATAGACCTCCTCGAGCAAATCACCATGCAAGAAAGCATTCTTGATATCAAGCTGATAGAGGGGCCAATCATGCATAGCAGCAAGAGAGATCACAACACGAACCGAACCTATCTTAGCAACTGGAGAGAAGGTCTCTGTGTAGTCAATACCATAGGCTTGGGAGTACCCTTTTGCAACCAATCTAACTTTCAGGCGGTCTACACTACAAGTGCTGAGAGTTCTTCTTCCATTGCACAGCACCACCCTAGACAGGCAAGGGCTTCCTGGACATCCTTAGGGACAACAACTGAGGATAACAAAGAGATAAACTAGCAATGGGAAGCGGAAAGGTGAGTGAGTGAAAGATAATTAGAAATAGGATGAAGGGTACAAGTGCGTTTACCTTTCCGCAAAGCAATGGGAAGATCAAGATCAGATACTAGGTTTGGGGCTGGTGTGGAGACAACTACCGGATCTGTCGACGTTGATGGAGCTGGAGGAGTAGCAGTCGGTACATGTGGGCGATGTGTATACACTTGACAGATAGGTGGCAATTCAACAAGTGGTGGCACTGGAGGCAAGGACTTGGTCACAACTGGAACAAGGTTAACAGAATCCGCAACTAGAAGTGGAAGAGGAGGTGATGAGGAGGAAGAAGCATCACCAGACCCCAAGAAAAACGTAGACTCAAAGAAGGTAACATCAGCACACACAAAGGAACGTCGAGAACTAAGATGATAACACTTATACCCTTTCTGGGTCCGGGAATAGCCAAGGAAGATGCACTTAATGGATTGTGCATCTAACTTGTCCATCCCGGGGCCCGGATTATGGACGAAGCAGACATACCTAAAAACCCGAGGAGAAAGAGAAAACGGAGACAAGGTGGGAAACAAGGTAGTGAATGGGGAATGACCATCAAGGATAGATGTGGGCATCCAATTAATCAATAACCAAGAAGTTAGCACCGCATCACTTCAAAAAGGTTTGGGAACATTCATGTGATGCATGAGGGACCGAGCTGTTTCCAAAAGATGACGATTCTTTCTCTCAACCACCCCATTTTGTTGTGGGGTGTAGGTACATGAGGTCTGATGTATAATACCATGTTGGTCCAAGTATTCGTGAAATGACAAAGAGAAATATTCACGGCCATTATCGGAACGAAAAATTTTAATGTGAACACCAAATTGGCTGTGAATCTCAGCATAAAATTTTTGCAAGATGGTAAACAATTCACTCCTTTCTTTCATTAAATAGAGCCACGTCATCCTTGAATAATCATCAACAAAAATGACAAARTATYTAWWTCCATTGTATGACATYACTTTATAAGGACCCCAAACATCTGAATGAACCAAAGAAAAAGGACTCGACACACAGTTATCAACCCTAGGATTAAAGAGAACACGATGATGTTTCCCCAACTAACACGACTCACAATCTAAAACAGAAAGTTGACTCAACGAAGGAACCAAAGACTTCAAAACTTTCAGCGAAGGATGACCAAATCG